TCCTTTTTTTTTTTTTTTTTTGCTATTTAAGCTCAGTCAAGTTTCAGTTCCATGAAGAGTCCTTTTTAACTACCAGCCCACTAAAGTAGTGTGGCATAGTCATGAAAATATTTACAATCGCATACAAATACATCTAACCGCCAGCAAACAGGAGCAAACAGTTTAGAAATACCAAACAGGTTGACTTGGAGGGAAATCCACTTGGGTTTGTTTGTAGGAGAGCATCTTCATGACGTGTTCCTCAAAATGAGAACAATATAGAAAAGATGCAATGGAAAATAATAAAATCTGAATTATCTATGAGGTAATAAAAAGGGGAAAACATGACTTAATATAAATATGTCCAAAAGTTTAAATGATGTAAGCCAGCATCTGATGGGTAATAACAATAAGAGTACAGAAGATAAGAGAGCATTAAAGAACCGTCTGTACCAATTTGAGCTAGGAGAAAAATGCAGTGACCAGCAGTGAGCGTCTTGACCAGTTAAAGCTCGTGACGAGATATTCATGTCCTCCAAAAAAGCTCTGCACGCTCTCTGAAATGGACAGGTTCAAGGGCATGGGAGGGGAATAGCTGGACTCATGCATTAATAATGCTGTATTTCAGATGATACCCAGTCGTCAGTCATTTTAATAATCCCCCACAGCTTGATGTACTTGTTCCATCTGCTCGCCAGTGCCTGGTGATTGGGCCAGGGTGGGAGCCCTGTTGAGGCCTTATTTCCAGCACTTTGATGGAGAGCACAATGAGCGACACACACACCATTTTTATTGTTTCCCATCCTTCCCTGGTGTTTTCTCCTTCTCTGAGCCAGATGGCGCCCCCTGGGTGCTGAGGTTGCCACAGGCTGGGGTCAGAGCAGGGCATGGCAGGGAGGAGAGCCACTTAGACCTTCTGCCCTGTAAAGAGGATCTGAGTCTCAACATCAAGGCCTTGACCGCTAGATGAGCTTTATCTATCTGCCGTCGCTGGAAGGTCAGGACTTGTCAGGTTTGAAGCTTACATTAAGACTGAGTTGCCTCTTTTCTGATTCTTGCATTTAGTCTGTATTTTTTGAAGTGCAAACAATGAGAGCAGTATAAAGCTGACCAGATTATTGTAAATGTTTCAAAAGCCTCATAGGTGATAGAAGGTTTATAAGTGCACTAATTAAAAAATTGTGTATTTTATCCTTTGTATACGAGTCTTTTCTCTATGTCCTTGCAAACTGTCATTTCTTTTCAAGACTACTTCAGTAATCAACTCATTGCATCAACCCGATGACCGTGCTCTCCTTTAAGACTTCTTAGTGTCAGTTTAAGATTTACAATGTCTAAAAAGAATTAAGATCAGAAAAAAAAATTACGTTTTAAGACCTAAGACTTTAAACTTGCCATCCAAATGGGGCTAAAGTGTTTAACAGAGCGCACTGTAGCTACACATTGTACAACATCAATTTAAGATTGTAATGCCACCAAAGCTGCCTTTCGCTACTGTTCCAATCCCACAGATTGGAGGCCTTTGGCCCTTTAGCATTCTGGCCTGATTACAATCACTCTGATTAAGATCTTGGTGAGTCAGAGTGGACTGCAGAGCTGGAAATAAGTGAAGGATGCCACGGTGCTCTGTGTGGACAGGGATGAGGAAATGAAAGGGCTGGCTTCATTGATGATCACTGCATTGGCCTCCCCAAAGAACAGCTAGCATCACAAGCTACCGTCCACAGATGTAACATATTGTAACCTCCTGCAGAGCTTGCTGCTTCCAAGTTCCTGAGTTTAATTTGTTTATTCTGTTTGGGTAAATTAAAGAAAGACTGGATGATGAAGCTGCATTAAGAGATGAAGAGATTGTCTAAGACTCAAAGACTTGAAACAACTTGAAATGTTTGGCACTTGCGCACTAAATTAGGTTGTTTTGTAATAACAAAAAGAAAAACACAATAATAATAATAATAATAATATTACTGATAGTAATAATAATAATAATGTGTAATTAGCCTCTGTACTACGTTGGAATCACTCCTTATCATTTTGAGATATTTTGTTCATATTTATCTCTTGATTAAAAACATTCACAAGCTGTTGGCTGGCACGCTATACCTGAGTGAGAATATTATTCCCATCTTGAACAGTTAGGTAATGTAGCAAAATCATCTAATTGAAGAGGAAAAGAAGGTAAATGACAGTAAGAATTACCTAGGTTCATATCAAAGGTTGTAATTTCAAGTTGTCTTTTGTTTTAGGCAATAACCTAATTGTCTATATGTCCATGATCTTAACAAAAAATAAACAATGAGATAAAAAATATATATATATGTATATATATATATAAATTACCACAACCAAACTGCTTCACACACTTAAAGAAACACTTAAGACCAAATAGCTTTTGATTCAGATGAAGCCACAGCTGCATGCTGGCTTCGATATGATACATCATTATTTTTTTAAACATGTTCAAACCTTTTGTGGTGTAGTTTTTGTTTTCTTTTGTTCTTTCCCTCCCTCAGATCAGACCAGCCCTCTGGGCATCCTCCTGTATGAGTACTGTTTCTGCACTGGCCTCTTCGGTTAAAAGGTCTCAGTTGGCACTGACTGGCTCTTGTGTGTCATTTTCACTGCTATAGTCTGATTTGGGCTCGTCCTCAAAATCTTCGTACATGTCCATTTCATCCTCGCCATTGACCGGCTCGCTGTTGTTCACCATGCCAGTGGGCTCTAGCTTCATGTTGTAGGTGCTCTGAATGACGGGAATGGATGGCTCAGGACTCGCTGAGGCACTTGAGCACTCCGATGTCATCTGAGGTGAGGGTGTGGTGGTCGCCATGGTGATGGCCCCAGGGTAGACCATGCTGGCGCTTGTGGTGATGGGAATCTGCGGTGGCTGCCTATATGTATAAGAAACACATACATTTATATTAAATGCAATCAGTTTTCACGACGCACTTGATTAAAAAGTGATCAGCATAATCGGAAAAAGAGCACACGGAAAAAGCGCTCAGTGGTGCTCATAGTGCGATTGCTGCTTAGGTTGGTGGCTACATGTCTCTAAAGTGCGTGATTTTTTTTCTTACAGCACTTAAACTGAGATGGCTGGATTACGGGTTTCCCACACCAGTCTGCTGTAAGCCAGCAGCTCTGTGAAAATGATTTGGAAAAAGAGAGGTACTCCTGACAACTCCCGTTTTGAGCCGCTCAGAAACACTACCCAGTTTATTGGTGACATAAAACCAATACGTTGCTCCTGCTGCTCTTTGCTGCTTTTGCGCTGGATAATTGATACTCCAGCCACTGAATCTTATGACTGACATGGGAACACCTGGAGAAGGACTCTCCTGATAACCACAAACAGTAAATTAAAGTGTTAAGCCTTAGACTGCTGCTGTCCACGCTTACGTAAATATACACGTAGAGCTTATATGTGTAATAATGTCTGTATTTGGTGCTCCATCAGGAGATTACTATTGTCTTAAATTATTAGTAACCCTCTGAATTAAGCTGCTGAGTTAGCAATAGTGGTTAACTCAGCGTTCACTTTTGCAAACACTGCTTTGCATTGCATGCACGTTTTCTGCATTTTCTTGTGTATTACGTATGGCAAGGCTGGGCTAATCACAACTGTGTACTTACCCCACAGTAAAGAACTGCCTCATCTCTTGTCGCCGTGAACGCATCATCTGTTTGTACTCTCCGATGCGGAGTTTTTTTCCGTCAATAATGCAGGTCCTCTTAGGCCGTGGTTTGTACTTGTAGTTTGGGTACTTCTCTAGATGAAGCTTACTTAGACGAGCCTGCTCTTCATAGTAGGGCTGTTTGTCCTGGTTAGACATGGACTTCCACCGGGAACCTACACAGCACAGTACATTCAGATTTTCAGTAACCAGAAAAACTGTTTGTGATAGTAGGAAACTGCAGGAATCCATTGCTCTTAAACATAACCACTAATTGAACAAAATAAGCAGAGAGGTGGTGACCTTGCACTTATATAAAATAACCAATAATGCAATGTGAAATTCATAGTCCTTTACTTTTTACTACATTGCATCAAGATTTAATTTAATATAGAGTTACCCCTAATAAGGGTGGACGTTTTCTAGAAAAATCGCATGCATAGATTTACTGTCTGCTGCACAACAATCTCTTGATAGCTCTGCATGTGCACATTATCTGAAACCAGAGGCAGGCTTGTTCCTTACTGTCAAACAGTAAGGAACAACAAGCTGGAGTAGTAAATACTGCAGCTCGGTGAAGTGCCCTACACTGGCATGGATGACAGCACTTTTAACAGCTCTGATGTATGGACTCCAGTGTTGAGGGGACAAGACCCATTTAGTCTCTGTCATTTTTCATGACAAACACTTATGCTAGTGATGGGCTATAAATCCATCTGTATGCTGAGGCGAACTGATGCACAGTGGTCTACGAGATAACGTGCATACTCTCTTTTTTAGACGCCAGACACTTTCTAAGATATATGCTTTTCCGAGTGCAATAAACCCATGAGAATGAGCAAAACTGAAAAAAAGCCTGGTAAGTCAGTGTTGGAGAAACACCATTAGTAATTGAAAAACTCAGATTGACTACAGTGCTCTTGAGCATGTCAAAAGCTATGAAACAAGCTGTGGTTCTAGCAAAACTATAAAACTAAACCAAAACTAAACTATAAATGGTGCATCATTATCAGTTTTGTATAAAGCAAAGAAGTCAAGTGCTCACAGCTGTATGTTTTTAAAGAGTCTTACCCAGAATTTTGCTTATGTTGGAATTGTGCATGTCGGGGAAAGCCTGGAGGATCTTGCGCCGCTCATCCTTGGCCCACACCATGAATGCATTCATTGGCCTTTTAATGTGGGGCTCGTTGTTGTTTCTTCCCCGAGATTCCCTGAAGACTCGCGCCTCGGTAGGTCCAGCGCCTCCTGTTGGCCAACAATAATAGGGTTGGGGTTTATCTGCAGAGCCATTGACTTCCTTGGACCCCGGAAAAAACAAGGGCAGGAACAAGAAGAGAGAGCGTGGCGAGACATTAAGTGACAAGCCATGTTTAAACTCTCCTTCATCTGCTATCTCCATCATGACAATTATTTCAAATGAGTGCAGAGATGCAAACACTGTTCAACAGAGTCTACAGGGTTGAATATGGCGTTTAAGGTGGACCTGATCTCTTTAAATCGGGTCTATCCAAAAGCAGTACAGAGAGAACAAGGAGAAGCCCTTTGACTTCAAGAATAATTCAGTTCTCTGTCCACAAGTCCAGCTTTTCTACTTGTGCACATATATTTCAGACTCACAGCCAACATAAATATACGATTTGAGCCTGACTTTAAAAAAAAAAAAGAAAAAGAAAAAGCGAGGAAACACAAACTCTTGCAAATCTTTATAAAAGCCAAACTCCATTTTACATATATATGCACAAAAAACCCCTTCGGTTTACACTTCTTTCTCCCCTTGTTTCTCACTTTCTTCCTCTTTCCTTCAAGCATGCACACAAACAAACAAACCACGCACACATTAACTGGGAGAGTGTGCCGATTCTGCAAAGTGCTGTTTCTCAATCAGGGCATTCACAATCAGCATAAGAGAGTTTCTCTCAGTATTAAACTGTACATCAGACTGATAATGATTTCTGTTTGCATGCGCATTTGCTTCCTTTTATATGTAAGATGTGAAAGAATTAAATAAAAGCAGTATGAATATTTAAACAAACAAAAATATGTTGATAAACAAGGCTTGAAAAATAAGACAAAAAAAGCCTTCCATATGCTACGATACATCTTTAATGATCTCAAATCTGGAAAAGAAAGCTTGGGATGACTCATGCATATTTCATCATCCACATGTGAAGCCTTCTCATTAGACCATTCCACTAGCAGCCTTGGCACACGTTACCTGGGGTCTGATTTCTATTATTATTTCAGTTGATAAACAAAATCAAACTCTTAATGAGTAATGGAGGGCTGTGCAGAGACATTAATTCCAAATCCACAGAAGCCTCGCCCTGCTCTTATCACTGAAGGTATTACTGCAGCATTTTCAGCCTCAAGAGTTGAAGTGTCTTCGCTTCAAAAGAACATGTCCTGTTTTCAGAATTATTGTATGAGACAAGTCTTTTTAAAAAGGCAACATACTTGCAGTACAATAGAGATGAAGGTGTGCTGGAACTTTGTTTTTGTTTACAGGGTAAGAATTCTTGAGGTCTAACCTACCTAGTAGAAAAGCCTGTTTCTCACAGTGCAAAAGCAGATGAATTGACTTTTCAGCAGCTCATGTTTAACAGCCAAAGAGCCACATTTATGATCCCTTCCTTTACCTGGAAAGCCAATAAAAAGGTGTATTTACTTATGAGTCAAACTCATATAATTGCAGGTGTTTGCTGGTCTCTCTATTTGTCTTAAATAGACAGACTAAACATTACATATGCAGAGAAAGGTAATAAATGCATAGTTATCTATAACTTTAGATTCATTTTCAGTTGCCAAAATGTCCTTTTAACCATATATAAATGCGTTTCCTCATCATTGCTATCTAGACGCCTGTGTTCTTTTAATTTCACAGTCTTGTAAAATATGCAGCAAATTAGAGATTTTTGTTACTTTTCGAAATACTTTCTCTACCTCTGCAAGCACCGCGTTTTCCTCTGTTTGCTGAGCTCCCTCAAATGCTGTTGGCCCGAAAGCCATCATGAATTCAAAAATAATACACTACCTTTGCTGCCACCGAACCCCACAGTACGTTAATTTCATTTAGCATGCACTCACTGTACAGGATGAATTGATTTCACTTTGTTTGGTTTTGACAACCATGTTTATTGTGCAATGAAATGTGGTGTGGCGGAGGGCTGACAGTATCCATCAACGCGGGGCAATCTGCTGACTGCCGGGGCCAGATGAAGGTATTCATTAGCTCAGGAGCGCAGCGCTCACTCAGACACGACAGCCAGTGTCTGCGCCCTGGGATCGCTTGCCGTAATTTACGATGCCTGCCGTGCCATTACTCTATCACTGACACTGATTCAGCAATTTATATACTGGTGCGCATGTATATGGGCAGAGGTGATCTTCTTATGTAGAGCGAAGGGGGGACAAAACAACTGCCTGCCATCACCTAGTGCCACATCCATAGTTAGCCAGGAAACCAGCCACGTGACTAGGTTCATTGGAGGGAATCCAGATGAGGCATGGTCTTTTGCTGCACATGACTGCACGCAGAAAAGCATCGCTTTCTGCTCTGTCAGATGCTGCAGAAAACTGCAGACTTGAACAACAGGAGTGATGCACCTCGTAAGTTGTTCCGAGGCACACGCTGTGTGGCTTGGATATGTAAAATACTGAAAGTGATGAAAGCTGCCTCGGAGAAACGAACAGCCCAACTCTGCGAAAGACCTTTAACCTGAAATAGCAGCGAGGTCTGTGATCTGTCTGAAAGCACTTTGAAGTACAGAACTGCTTCCTTATTCAACCCCTGTAATATATATGACTTAATCGGGGACATCCTGTATATTCACACAGCAAATTGCTTGCAACTATAACATGCAATTTACTGCCAGGTTGTTTCCATATTTTTGCAGAAAATCGCAACGCTGCTCTGACATTTTGCAAATGAGCAATAACTATTGTTTTCCAGGAGGGGCAGGACATTTAGGAATCAGTTAGTTAGGTGTGTGATTGTGTAAATAAACACAGATGTTTAGCGGTGACAGGGCCAGGCCCCCTGGGTGGTAGCTGGGGAGGGAGCGAAACAGAGGGAGTGCTGCTTAATAGAATTTATTGTGATTCATGAGGCCCGCAGCTCAAGTGTGACAGAGCGATATGAGAATCCCCTTTTAATTTGTCTCTCCTGGAAACACTGCAGATGAGCAGCATGAATTACAGTGTGAAAGAATGATTGTGTGTGTGTCTGTGTGTCTGTGTGTGTGCGCACATGGTGGAATAAAGAACGAAAAGGGAAAGTGAATAACGAGGAAGAAGGAAACAAAAAAAGAAAGGGGGCGAAATGGAGAGAGAATGTAGTGAGGCCCCACAGCCTGTCACACCTGTGAGCTGCAGGCTCAGACTCGACCATATAGCAAGCCAGAGGGTAGCGCTGCCCCAGCTGCCCCCTCTCCTCCTCCTTACTCATCTTTGTTCTATGGGCAGACACATAATGTCACCCAGGAATCCGCTCAAAAAGGATGAGCCTCAGTGAGCAGGCAACAATCACGCAAACCTGCCAAGCCCTCCCTGTTGGGATCAAATCTAACACCTCTGAGTGAAGGCATTTACTACTGACAATAGAGCCTCTCCCTCAGAGCAGGATCAGGCGAGATTAATGTGTGTGGACGGACAGGATGCGGCGCTCAGTGGCTCTGGTCCAGTCTGAGTTCGTGGCATGCTAATTAAACCGGTGAAAATCACAAGTGATGTAAACCACATTAAAACATCTCAATTGTCTTATTTTTAGTACCCAGTTGGGATCGTTTGGGTTTCCATACCCTCTGTGTGTATATGTGTGTGTGTGTGTGATAGTGTGTGAATGCATGCACACACATGGGAACTTGGGAACAAACAGGCAGCTTGTTTCAACATGCCGCAGCTTTTACTTTTGCCTGCAGAGCCAGCTGTCTTATGCATTTAGTTTAATCTTTCACAACTTCTCGGCCTCTGACACTCACAGAGAAATACACACGTTTGTTCGTTTGCTCTAAATTTCAATTTGCCAGCTTCAAAACAGAACTTTCTTATTGATTGTTTTGACCTGTGCACCTACTGTTTTTGTGACTTGACACGTTATTATGTCAAAGGCTTCTCATCTAAGCTTTCTTCCAGAAAAACTCCCCGGCAATAAAAGCCAGAGCTTGATTCCCACAGACTCACAGCAGAAGAAAAACAAACATCTTCAAACAATCAGCCCATATAACACTTCACAACAGCTCTGAGCTACCGATGTAAAGAAACTCATTGTCAGTGATCTGTAGCAAAAGTGCAAGACTACTGTTTTTCTTATCCTATTCCACAAGGACACTTCTCAGCTGAAGCTTCTCTTTTGTTCTTCAGTCTTTGTTTGATATTATCTCATTGGGCTTTTAGATTAATTCTGTTTCCTGCCTCCACACATCTCTCAACAACTCCTTTGTTCTTTGTAGACCCTGAGTGATGGGGGCGTTTTAGACAAACACACAACCTCATATGGCAGCTCCATACTGCCATATGTGAATGAACGAAGGGCCTCAGGGCTCAGGCTTTTGTGGTATTTGGTAAAGACCTAATGAATTTGCCAAGGGATCATGTGTGTGGCTTGTGACTTTGTTAAATGATGAAAATCCCATCTATTCCTATTTCTTAACCAATCCCATACACACACACACACACACACACACACACACACACACTTTTGGTTGTTCGGAGTTGGGTTTCTGCCTGCTTTGCAAATATTAGCTTAAAGAACCTAAAGCTTTCTGTGAACTGCCGCGATAACAGAAGTCACTGTGCCTGCTCAATGCGGTTACTCTGTTCTGGATGGAAAGCTGCTACACACCAACGGGCTTTCACACCCTATGTATGGGTGAGGTGGTGCACCCAGTAATTTTCCCTTTCAGGAAACACCAAAAGTATGTGCAGTGTGTTCTGATCTACTCGGGGGAGGGGGCTAAAATGTTTCCAAATTCATTTGCCTCCTATTTTTATAGGTTGTTCCAAAACTAGTTACTGATGCTACGTTTTTTGGATAAAACTGCCTTTTTGTCATAGAAACATTTGTGGTTTTTTATGGTAATTTTTTTAGAAGAAGTTTCAATTCAGCAGATCTTATTCACATTGAAAAAAAATACTTGGCACCTGGATGACCTTTGACCTTACATAATCTAGAAGGCTAATGTTTTCTATGCTTTCATATTTATGCTATTAAACAGAATAAATATTTTCGTGCACTGTATATTTCTTTATGTTATGGTATGCCAGGGAGCCGAGCTTTCTTTGGTTCAAGGAAGAGAAAATCCTCACAAGATTTCAGATGTAAGCATGTTCTCAGATGAGTAAATACTTTGTGGTTCACATCTCAAAATCCTGCTTCACATCATTCATCTCCGTTCCTTCCTGTTGGTAAAGCCTAAAGACACAGACCGATATATATATATATGTATGTATGTGGTGTAATAGAAGAAATGCTAACTGTGTTTTGAGTTATGTCCATTGCCCTGTCTCCCAGCCACCCCCCACCTTGGGAAGAGGACCTCTTCTCTCCTCTAACCTTTGCTTGCCCCTAATCCATAACCCACTGGGAAAACTGATGTGCGGTGTCTGGTGCTAGCCTTTCCCTTGGCTCTAAACAGGACTTAAAAGGACAGAACTTCCCTGGTGCGTACTCTGTTTCAGTCCTGACTCCACAGTAGCCACAGAGGGAGGGTTACCACTGGGAGAATGAGCACTCAAAACACATCTGTCCAAGGAGTCAGACGGGTGGGATGGGATCTTCTGCTGTGGCTTACATGGGAAACATGTAAATGAATCCACTAAATGCACCTCTAATTCTCATCTTCAGAATTGGGTGTGATGTGAAACTAAATGTGCTTTGAAGTTGGTAAACAAATATTTTTATAGCAAGATTTTTTTTTTTAAAAAGTCTATGTGAACCAACTGAGCAAGACCATTTAGTTCTAAAACTGAACTGAAACGTGCCTAAAACTTCATTGGAAAATGCCGATGTGTTACATTGTCCTGAGAAATATCTATCCCTCTGCCCCGAGACTTTCTGAGGCATCAAAGATGAGTCAGAACCATTTTATTTTCTGCTCTGGCTCTGAAGTCCCATGGAAACTGCCACAAATATTTATGTCAGACAAATATTAGTTGCACTGAGGAACTCTTTGCTCCTGTGTAGGAGCCAGCTCCACAAAAGCAGATGACGATTTGTCACACTGGTGTAATCAGAATTTACACACATGGGCCCAGGACCTCAGACAAGCAACAACAGCAACAGGAGTCAAGCTTGGAAAAAAGCCAGCTTTGTCCTCAGGCACCCTTGTTCTTCGCTCACCTACCTGTGAAAACCTCAGAGCGATGGCTCATTTCAAACGGCATTCACCACTTCTCTCTTGCACACAACTGTCCCAACCGCTCTGCATGCAGTAGGCCTTTATTACATATCAAAACTCCCTTTTCTTTTAAAAGGTAGACTCAGTTTTGACTGTGTAGACAATCCACCCATTGCTCTTAATATTGTCCCCCCAGATAGTTTAGAAAGTTAAGTAAAATGTTACAAATTATGCCGATGTAAGGAATGAATTTAACAGCATGTAATAATAATTAAAGGGAAAAGGCAGAAAAACAATGAAATAAAACAAAACAAAACAAGAGACCCAATAATGGCCTTACCATCTAGATCTTCTGGCCTGGTGAGGTCAATAACTCTGTGGCCAAGCTTTCCATCCTCACCCAGCTTGCCAAGGTGGTGCCCAATGCTGTCAAAGTGTGCTCTTTCCTACAGAGATATACAAAGAGTCAGGTAAACAAACCAGCACATATACACCTTTTTACAGTGACAAAACAGCTAAAAAAAAAAACAAACAAACTCCATCACAAATCTGAAAATTTGAAAAGAAAAAAAAAGTGTCTTTGATAAATGCAGTTTGTTTTGAAAAGCTGCTCTTTTGACATGAGCTAGATGCAGCTTTTTCCTCATCTCTCTATTCTGTAGCTGTTATAATGGATGACAGGAGGCAGCGAGACAGTGAGGGCCAGGGGTGCTCTAAATAGATTTACAGAAGGATACTTTGTGATCCCGAGCACACAATGGGGCCGTGGCCCTCTTTGCAGTGCTCAGATTTTCCTCTGTAATCTTCTCCTTACATCCTGCCTTCCAGTCTACAGCGCCCTGAGCTCAGCGCCCATCATTTATTCAGAGTTCATGCTTTGGAGAACACACCGTGTTTTCCCGTTTGTCATGTTTCTTTGTGCTCAGATTAAACTTGGCATCATGTTGTACTTGTCGCACAATGAAACCCTGTCATTCAGCGCTCCGTGACAATATTAAATGTCATGTCCATGTGCATTTACAGAATAAAATAACAGCTTTCGGGGGGTCTCTGAATAGTTGCTGCACATTACACTTAATGTATTATGCAAGGGGAGAGTGCCGACTGCTGCTGGCTCCATTGTTGAATGACCTACTTCCTCAGTGAATACACAGGGCATTAGCAAAGGGCTGTCTTCCTCTCTAAAGACTCAACTAGGAGATGGACACTTTGACTCTGCATGATACAAATAATCTCCCCCCCTCCCAGGTTTGCCTGGATGACACTAAAAGCAGGCATGTTGCCACCATTCAGAAAAAAGCATTTGTTTTACTCCCAGGGTGCACGTTCAATCTCTGCCAAAGATGCACTGTCTGCGCTGACCTCTGCCTCTTTTCTTTCTAAACAGGCCTATCACATGCAGTCTGAGCAGACACTCAGGTAGAGTCCCCACACAATACTAACAGCTCCCCTGCCTCATGCAACGACACCAACAAACACATTAATCTTTGAGCCCCTCCTCTGTGAGGCATTCCACTGTTTTGTTTTTGTTGGGTTTTTCACGTTTTCTCCCCACAGGGAAGTTCTTTTTCCCCAGGTGATAAAAAATTAAGAAGCTCTAACAACTGTGCCCGCAAACATTTAGTTTATGCCTGTAGCCAGCTAGCCGACTTATTCGAACTTATTTGTTTTTATTATGATAAATGAAATCATGCTGGTGAAAAAAGTCAAAATGTATTATAGTGACAGAGGCAAGAACAACAAAAAAAGAAATCTCTTTAAAATGTTTTCTTTTTTTTAAAAAAAAATTCTCCTTTTGTGCATTTTTTTTGTTGGGGGTTAAAAATTCTGACAAGATGAAGAATGAAGATAGTTCAAGTCCATTTGAGGCCTTTCACAGTATTTTGATTTTCCTCATGCTTTTATTTATTCAAGAACTATTCCTCAAAAGAAAGGACCACGCAAGAGACAGAAAGAGCACTGCAATTTACCATCATACTTGAAGGAGCAGTCATTATTTATGGCCAGCTGAGTGATTCTGATGTACAATTAACCACTACCTGCTTATGGCCTGTGATTAGAGGCTGTCTATCTGACGGCCCTTTGCTTACTTAAGTGTTTTCTAATTATGACATATGTGGTGGTCCCTGCTGGGCATGAGGACACTTTGTAAAGCGAAGATGGAGTATGGTGCCTCTCTCTGTGTCACATTCTGTGTAAAGCAACACACGCACGAGCAAGCACGCGCGCACACACGCACAGACGCGCATTCATCACCCAGCCACATTATTGCTCTTAATGAAAGAAGCTAGCAGCCTGATGACAAAGTGACTGAAGTGCGATTAGCTGGATGGGCGATGGTGCTGCTTCAGATGCTACTTGGACAGTCTGCTCAGAAGACGCGGCATTCATGGGGTAGTGTGTGTGTCTGTAATAAAGTAGTCATCTCGTCCCTCTTCTGCGCTTCGTTGCTCCCTCTTGATCAATCAAGTCCTTTTATAAACTCATGATCATTAAGCATCATGTTGGGCTGAGAAGGAAAGAGAACAGGGACCATCCGTCAATGAATTTCATTAATGGCTAGCTCAGCATTGAACTTCTTTCTCCACCGCACAAAGTCATATGATTAGTGAGCATCAGCACACCAGACAGCTCGGGACAAGACTGAATGAAGCTCTTGTCTTTGAGGTAGCTTTACTTAATTTGACCCAAGGAAAATAAAAAGGAAAAAAAGAAAAGGGGAGGTTGTGGTTAGTGGAAAAACATCTACATATACTTTATACAACCTCTTTTACGTGCTGTAATGTAATGGTCTAATTGCAGTATTCCCCTCCTGTGTGCTATGCTAATTAATATCAGACTATCTGTGCAATATGGTACCACAAATTTTCATAAAATTTTATATACTGAGCTTAATATACTTATTGGTTATAATTTCCATAATTTATATCGGTGAATTAGAAATAGACTGGAAATTAGGGCTGTAAATTATCCGCAAAGCATCACGGTTTTGTTTTAAGGTTGGAAAAGATTCAGTGAACTAATGCTTCTTTACTGCACACGCATCAAGTGCTGTGATAAATTAATGGCAGTTTTATTATTTTATAGTGTCATTAAATTTTTACTGATCACTCTGACACAGAGAAGTAGCAAAGGACATGCAGTATCTGGGGAAGCTAGCCATCCTGCCAGAGAAAGAGAGGGAGAGACTTTGAAAGAGGGAGCCAATCAGTATATGGCCAATATTTAAAAAAAACAAAACAAAACCCAAACACATATATATATATGTATATATGGTTTTTAAAGTAGCAAAAACCAAACATAAATGCTACAAGGCCAGCTGAGGAAAATGTATTGAAACAACGCAAAATAAGAACAAATTGAGGCTGGTGTGAATAGACAAAGATAAAGAGAAAGGAAACAAAAGATATAACAGTACACATCATTTCCCTCCCACTCTGACCACGACCGCTGGCAAGCAACTTGTCCCTCCCTTAAATGACTTCAGCATGCAGCTCTCCTCCCCACAACTAAAATTATAGCAGTGCACTCAGAGCTGTAGTGGAGAACTGCCACCCACAATAATCTCATCTGCCCTGCCTGTGCAGTCTTTTGTCTTTAAAGTTTGGTAACACATGTATCTGTTCAGTTGCACATGGCTGGCTTGTGAGGGAACTCACAGGGAGACTGTGAGTCACAGAGGAAGATGAGAAAACAAAGGGGGTAGATAGCAAAGTTTGTGTAACGTCTTGGGCGAGGGAGCCCAAAAGGGCCCTTGTCAGTGTTGTAAGGAAAGCTTTAATCTGGCTGGCCACAGAACATGTGCCGGAGGCCTGCTGCTCTACCCACAGGGTGTATTCTGGGCAGAGGCGGGTGGCGGACGGCCCTGTGTATTGTGCCTACTCCGCCCTATATTTAGGCAACGCATTGCCAATCCTGACACTCCTTCACTCTCTCCTTTGCAAATAGCTTTAGTCAAAAAGGCAAAGGCAAATCCAGATGGATCGGGATTGGTCAAATACACATGAAAGAAAAGTACAGCGAAAACTAACTGTGGTGCAGTTTTTGGAAGTCAGCTCGGTTTGGAGGATCGGGTTTGGCTGTGAAATGAAAACTGAATCTTCTACATAAATAAAATAAATAAGTAAGTGAAACTTTACATTTCTCACACCACAGTTAAATGAAACATTTAAGTCCCATTATGAATTCTGAGAGCAGTTACAACTGCACTTGGTGAGAACCATTAAACTAAATCTCACCACACTGGAAAGTGTATGATTGTATATGATTAAGATCTCATGATTCAAGCTTTTACAGCGACAGGACTCCCGCTTATATTTGATAATGTGCTGAACTGGCTCCAGTTATATCACACACCTGGTATGTGGCAAGCTGAAGGCAGTAGTCCTGACCACAATGCAGGGCTTTGTGTATCAAGTGTCAGTCACCACTGTGGTCTTTAGTCCTTGAGTGAAGACTCTGAGGGTCTCAGACTAAAGCCCTCAACAATCTGTCCCAGTCCTGATGCAGACAAAGACTGCACTTTAACATGGCTGCAGCTTCTCACAGCTCAGCACCTCATCTGTTTTGTATTTGTATTGTAACCAGTTGTAAGGTTATTTATAAGTCTGCAGCTTTCCAGTAGTTTTTGCTAGTTTTGAACCATTTAAATGTTAAGTACATCCAGCCATGCGGTAAACCCACAGTGCCTTTCATGCAGGCTGTTGCTCTCTTTTTACCCATAGATGTCCCTTTGCTAAGGCTAATGCAGGCAGCAGCAGAATCAACAGTAGCAGCCACAAAAGCCTGGCATCTGTTCCATAGTAGTCATACTCAACATCACACAGAGCGGAGATGGCCGGCTATTCCAGTCCTATTTGTACTGCCAGGGCATCAACCCGTTTGTTTTAAAAGGCCTTTAATTAAATTAAATTAAACCACTTAAACATCTTGTAAGCTAACCTCTTGTGTGCTTTCTGTGAGTTTCGTTTTTTCGTGAAAAAAAAAAAGAAAAGCATTTTCATTATTCAAGATCATTTTTGCTGCAGTGAAAACAAGACAAACCCACACAGTGTGACCCTTCAGTGTTAGTTTGAAATTTAGTTGAAACAGTTTATTTACTTCTACATGTCTACTATGAACATTTTCTGATCATGTTATTACATTACACATGTGGTTGGAAGGAAAATGTCGCAATACTGTGTCATTCTCAATTCAGTCCGCGTGCGCTGAAACATAAATTGTGTATCAATCTGAGTGCTGCGAAACATTTCTAACACGGTGTTCAGTTCCTATTTTCTTTGCCGCACCGCTGAGGTAATTTGTGGTGACAACATGTACTTTTACGAATTTCCAATTCTTGATGAACCAGAAATGTTCGATGTTAAGTTGGGCTTAAATCTCCAGCCTTATCAAACCTGTTCAGGTTACCAACAGCAGGATATTACAAACTGCGGCTCTACCAAAACACCTTTCACATCCAGACAAAACATCAAGACTTGTTGGACACTCTGGCCATCATGGTCCTACTGCAACAATACCATAGACTATAAATGGTCCTTTGTAGCCTATTCTTTTCCTCATCCTTTGTTGAATGTGCCTTGTGGTGACTACAGCATCACAGGTCTTAGCCACCAGGGCCAGCAGCATTTCTAATCAACTGTAGCCAGCCAGAAATGCACTATGTTAGATGACAACTGTAGAAAATAATGGAGCCACCATCGCCAAATGACCCTACCAAGATGGACTCTTGATGTCTTTCTGGGGAAGAGGCAGGAGAGCAAAAGACTTGACCTGGGACAGGAGCCCACAGACACACACACCATGCACCATCCCGAGTCATACATTATTTTTTATTCTTTTGACTGAGCTGAACAATTGGACAAAGCATTAATGTAAGCAATCTTCACAATAGCACTTGCTGGCTACAGCCAGTGTCTGGGAGCGGAGCATAATCTAATTTGGATGGGCAAACCCTTGTATGCCAAGGATTTACATTGCAGCCAAAATGCCTTGGTTTGCAATTTCCAAGACAGCAGTCGAAAAGGAGCAGAAAATTGCTTCCAGGGCTGCAAACCAGACAAGATTATATTCAAAGTCTTTGTGAGGGCTTTGCCTGAATAGAGTCCTGGCATCACACACACACACACACACACACACACACACACACGGGGGAACAGTATAACCACTATAACCAATAGGTTAGGAGTCTGGATTTTGTTGGAGCACCAGTGTAAGCTCATTTGAATATTTACAGGCTGAGCTTTGGGAAACGGGAAATGGACAATTGTAGTCATCAATACTGAGGAGAGGAGAGTTGTGGGGCAGAAAGGGCAGTTCGATAGGTTAATGCACTGACCTTTCCCCTTTTGATTCCGGTTAGGGACATGTCAGCAGAGGAATATATTTTATCTGACACCTCCAGAACATCACATACTACAGTTTATTGGAACTCAAGCAAAAGAGGTTGATGCTCCTATTTTAGAGATTTGTTTATGCACCACTTGTGAAAAAAACTGCAGATTTACTCACATGATCAAACAGTATGTAGTACACTGCTTGTGTGTGTGCACATAATAGATGAAATGTATAAAATGACTTTTGTCACATAGTCATGAATGACTAAGGCTGAACATTCAATTAACACTCTTTCTTCTTAATAGGAATTCCTCTGCTCATTAACAGGCAGTTTGCAGTTTCCAGACAATTACACTATTGATTGTACACTTGGCCAGTTTTTAAATGTATTGAATTCCACTTGGATTTTTTTGTCTTTATTTAATGTGGCTAATTACATAAAAACGAAAACTCTTTTATCACTTCTTTATGTAGATGTATGCAGTATATGTCACAATGGGGCGATACAAGCCTACTATTGAAAACTTTTTTGAAATATTTAGCTTTCTACATCTCTCATGTGTTAATTCAGCTTGAACATTTGATATGAATGATTTGAAATGATTGCTCTGTCCTGCTGAGTCAGTGGAAATGTATTAGGCGGTACCTCAGGTCTAAAATGCATCCATTCAACATCTGAGTAAAAACATATACACGCAGATGCTTCTTATGGTTCATACGACCCTGAAAAACAGCATGTCCACTTGAAGCTATGGTGCATTATAGAGGGGAAAAATTCAAATGGTTACAAATGGATTTGGTTGTAGTGTATATGACTGCAGGCATACTGGTGCATTCTAGGTAAAAGCTTCCACTGTGTGAGGAAGAGATGGTAAATAATGGAACAAAGTAATTGCCTCTGCAGACAATAATACCTATAGATAAATATTTTAAAAAGGCAAATTGCAGAAGGGTTGTAAAAGGTTTTATTGTACTGATGGGATATAGTAAAAACAGACAAATAAAAAGACAAGCAGGAAAATCTGCTCCTGTAAAACATGAATATTTCACATGTCCTCAGGTTAAAGCCTTGTATACCGTAGAACAGAGTCTGATCTACACAGTGTTCTCCTAGGTCAATGGCCAGGAAGGGAGAGGGAGAAAGAGAGAGCTAGAGTCATGGTGATAAAGGTTTGGGAGGAATGCATTGTACTGTTCAGATACACTTTATATGAAAAGATGAATTGGTCCATCTCTAAGCAGCACTTAGACCCACTCCTCTGCCCGGTCATTACAGTGGGATAAATCAATATTTAATATCCCCCCCTAACAGCCACACTGAATGATCTTAACCTCTCCTTAATCCCATTTATGTTACCTTTCCAGAATCTTCTTCATGTAAGCTCTCACTTTGATAAACTTCCAAACAAGAGACTGGGAGGGGGCTATTAAAGACCACGCCATATTTATGTCAGGTGAGGTGCTTTCTTAAAATATTAATATTCTGAAACTGACCAAAGTGAAAGCTTTTATCTCGGCTATTCGAACCATTCTAGTCTGCTGGCTTGTTGTATCAGCAAAAGACCCGCTCGGCTTCTCTCTCATTTCACTGCTGAATTACAACTGACTGTTCTTTATTACAGCCAAAGGATGAAGATGATGGGGGCAATTCTTTTAGCTGACTTGATAAAGCCTGCATCTAATTTTACACCATCCTAATAGGACCAGTGTCACTGAAACTAAGAGGTGACAATATCTCACTATGATTTGCGTAGGAGGCAGTCCAAGGGTGTGCTCAGTTAAGGTGCCGTTTAACAGGACTGATATGTCACAAAAAGAGGTGGGTATCATAGTTTTTTCAAAGGCATGCATGGGTCTAAATAGCCTCAATACTGCGATCCAACTGTTCTAAATAGTACTTTCATACATTCTAGTATTGAATACTATACATTCACTTTGTTACTGCCATAAACAAGTAAGTGCTGAAAAATACAGACAAAAGGTGTTTTGGTGAGGAATGAGTCATTATTTCAAGCAAAAAGAAAGGATCTCTACAATCTCAGATTATTGCTCTAAAACTGGCTGATCACAAGCTGAGTGCAAAGTTGAAAGAAAAGAAAAAAAACCTTAAACCGACTAAAAAGAAAGTAAAAACATTTTATGCTCTACATACCACACGGACAGTGTAGCTGTAGGTGTGTGGAGTCTGTTGATTAAGCCATTGTTCTGCTCTTTTCTTGTCATGCCAGAATTAACTGCTTGGCTGACCACAGGTTCACCTCAGTTGTGACGCAGGGAGGCGGCTCCTGTGACTGAGGATGACTAAAGGGTACTTGAACACTCGTGCTTGAAGCGTGATGTGTCACAATGTAACTAAAATAATAAAATAAAAGCTCACAAATCTTTTGTGGAAGGCGGCACACCTGTTCGTCTCTTAAATTAAGTCACATCTATTTGAGTTTTTTGTTGGGGAATTACGAGATTGATCAGTTCAGTTAGTTTCTTATCTTTGTTCATGCTTCTGTGCTTCCTCTCCGTCGCCTCGATGGGCTGCATCGGTTTATTTGCCTCACTTCAGTAAGAGCATAGTTGATTGCCACCTGCATAGACAGTGATATCTTCCAAACACCAAATTAGACGGAAATCAAAATAGATATTCATTGACTTTTTTACATATACATTGACCTAGTTGAGGCTGTTGGTTGAAAGTGTCAGGTGCTGAAATATTAATGAGCATCGCTCCCAGTTTCTGCCTGCTCCTCACAGCCAACTGGCAACATGGCATCAAGCTGAAGAGAGGAGGACAGCTTTTTTCTTTCCTTGATTGACTCATCGATTGAAGATATTTTTAAAGGGAATCCCTGGGAGTGTGTGCTCCTGGTACAAAGCAACCCCATCCCGTGTCAGGGGACGGAGAGGGCTGCAAGTCGGCTTTAATTGGGCAGAGACTTCAGAGTCTTCTTAACCCACACCGGGCAGTGCCATGGCCTGTCATGGCCCTCACACCAACACCGGGAACGCACAAGCTTCTAAACACGCACACACAAACATATTCATGCTAATTTGAGTAAACATGCATGAACACACTAAACTATGCCAGCTGTTATCATTACGACCTCCCTGGACTTGGATTAAAGAAAATGATTAGTCTTAAGAATTAATGCTGTAGCAAAATCGCCATGTTCCACTTTCTTGCATAGTTTCTTTCCTCTGCTACTTGCAGGGAGAGCAAACAGTCTTGTGGTCAGCTACTAACATTTTTTCCTTTTTAGAGAAGTCCTGCAATAGAGAGGACCTGATTCAGGGATTAAAAAAAAAGAGAAAGATGAAATGGAACTTGTGCTAACCTTGTCAGCTCTGCAGTTGTTGAGGCCCACTGAAGTGAGGGCAGACAGCTTTGCCTCCATGCCCTGCTGGTGATGTTGCAGCTGTTCCCTCTGGATCTGCTCCCTCATTTTCCGAGCTTCCTGGATGGCCTTCATCACTGTGTCCTGGTCCCCGAACAACGCGGTAGAGTTTAGGCTGGACAGAATATCTGCATGCACACAGAGCAGAGTGAAATTAGCACGTCATGCTGAAAAAAGAAAAGAAAAACAACCAAAATGCATCCGTACTAACGTTTTCTACTCTGGTCTCTCTGGATGTGAGTGTATAGCGTAGGTGTATGTTTGAACAGAGTAAATCTGTGTTTGTCAAGTGGAAACACTTTGACGTCTTACCCAGAGAAGATCCCCGGCCCAGACCTCCAAGTGGGCTGGGGGTACCCCCCTTGCTCATGAAGCTGTTAGGGCTGCTTTTACTGCCGGGGAACAGATTTTGTGTTGGGGACGTAGGAGATTTGATCAGTTCTGTCGTCTTTGGCCGAGCAGACAGGTTGAGGGGCTGTGTTCCCTCCTCCTACAGCAGAAGAGATAGGAGTATGAAAGAAGACAGATGTTAATGGGTGCCCCCACCTCCTCCGTTTGGAGGAGCTCCGGGTTTCCAGACAGCACAGCTCTCCTCTGTTTCTGGTTAATTACAGAATCCCTATTGTGACCTACACCTCCTCCCTGATTCCTCCCTCATTTTGCTTTTTCCCCTCTCCTCTCTTCTCGTCTTCCCCTCTCCTACCATCCCCTCTCATCCATCCTTTCTTAGGAGCTGCGCCACTGTGAGCTTCCTCACAGTTGCCCAGCGCCTTTGTTCACACTAATTAAAGCAGATTCTGTCTCTCTGTACATCTTCATCTGTTCTCCCTCTCCTCCTCCCTGCTCTCTGTGTCTGCACTCTGGTTCGAAGAATAAATAATGACCAGATAACAGCGGTGCCAATGATCAAAGACAGCTGTTCCATTCATCAGATGTCGACTTACATTATCTACTTCATTAACTTGTTTTCTAATTTCATTCCTCATTTGTGCATACTTGGTTTTATCGTAAGCTTTGATATGCCTATTCCTAAAAAATATGATGTGCAGTGTGGTTCTGAGATGAGGTCAGGGAGCACAGATTTTCTTGGTGCTGTATTTTTGTGTTGGTTGTGGCCTTGAAGACCAGATACTGATATAAGATGACAAATGCATTTTATACAGGACATTTGAGAACAAAAATGCTTAATCTACGGGTACCCGAAGAGGCCAGGTATTTAATAACGACATATTAAAGTACTCGCACTTTTTATGCTCTATGTATAATTTGAATAAAAATATTATTTATACAGTTAAATATTTGATTATGACTAACAAACTGCTCTGTAAGCTAAAACTGGGCAAAAACCATGAAACAATGTGTATATTAGATTCTCTTAAATACAATCAAATGCTGAATGATTGTAAATGGGAATAATTCAATGCCACAAGAAAAATGTCACACCGCTCAAGATAAGTCGCATGGATGTACACATCAGTTTTTAAAATCAGATTAGGGCTCATGCTGTCATTAACAGTATTTTTCAAAGCCCAAGTGTCTCCTTGTCCAAACATATGGCTCTACCATAGACTGCCCCAAGGCCTTGTTATTGCTGTGCCAATAACAGTTTGTCATGCAGTGAAGCTGAAAACAGACAAACAAAACTGAAGGCAATACGATTCCACCGGACTGTGGATGGGGATGGGATGATGCCAGTATACGTTTGCCATCCATTTATTTATGAATAATTCATGTCATCTGAAGTCCTTAATTTTGGCATAATTGGTAATATTTGGACTAGAATTAGCCTTGTATTAACATTGCCCTACTTGACATCCATATACTTGAGCCAGATTGATGGATATTCCTGGAGGGAGAGGACCTGAATGGGTGTGTGTTTTTGGCTGTGTGTGAGCGCGAGCACACGAACAAAAAGCTGGAGTGCTTTCCTACTATTTGAAGGCATGATTTATGGTTTTTCTCCATTGTGATATTATTAAACTAAACTACTTCAAATGGGCGTATGTTTCTGATTATGGCCTTAATGAGCGGGAATGATGTATGCGGCCTTTCCTTTGCATGGAGGTCTGGTGGAGCCGTGCCATACAGCAGCAGAAAGCACATCCTAGTTTGTTTACAAGGGAAAAAAATTGTCAGTCCTACTCAGTAGTTGTATAGCACCGTGGTAAGAGATTTATTCCATTTTAGTTACAAAAAAAGAAAAGCCTTTTCATTGTGAAAAAGAAAGAAAAAAAAACACGTGTTCCACAAATTACTGGCTTGAAGCTGCCATAGCTATAGCAACCATTTCCACAGAGTTCTGGTTAAGAGAGAGAGGGCCTTGTTAAAGCCCCAGAGATTGATGGTCTGTTAGAGGTTGGGCTCACCAACGGCCGGGTATAATACTGAAGTACTGAACATTGTAGATGCTAGTTTACTCAGACAACACCAAATAGGCTAGGCTAGGTCAAGTACCACTCAAGGCCTGGGTTGGTGGGTGGGCTGGTTGAAGTAGTCGAGGGCTGTACCTTGACTTGAGTGATGGGGCTGGAGGAACTCTTGTCATTCTTCAGAGATGACGGAGAAATGGGCCCACTAGCCGTGAGTGGCTGGGGGAGTGGAGGCATCTTGGCTCCGGGAGAGACCTGCATGCTGGCAAGCTGGGCAGCATACAGTTGCTGTAGAGAGGTGGAGAAACCCGCAAGGCGTTAACATCCAAATCCAGCAAACATTCAAAGTTTTATATTCTGTCTTTTCCTCTCCCTAGAACTCTCTCTGCTTCTCTGTCTGCCTTCATCTCCCCTCTCTCTTTTACGTCTTTCCTCTCTTTCCATGAGGCTGGCAGAGAACCTCCATCAAAGGTCTTAACTGTATTTCAAAGGCTGAACCCAGAGAGAGACAGCAGTCTTAAAAACCACACAGAGATGGCTTTCATTCAAATACTTGGAGCCCCTATTTTCCACTCATCACAGAGAAAAGTTTGCCGACTGGATGCAAGTGTGTTAGCAAAGATCTCTCGTTTCTCTAGTTCTACACAACTTGCAATTGAAGTTTCTGGTCTGTGTTTTGTCTGTACACAGCAATGTGAGACGGTCCCGTTCCACAACCAACCGCAGTTGGATTGCCATCACAGAAAATGTTAAAAACACACATTATAAAAGATTAGAAATCTTTACAGAGAACACTGATGCAATCACTTTATATTTCTTGGTGTTCATTCAGTAAGGTTTTCAGCTGCTGGTGACATTATTACCCAAGAGCATGGTGCAAATGGCAAAACATTGCCTCAGATGGAGTTGAACTTTAAAGGCTCAATTTAAGAGGTTGATAATGTGGCAAATATTTGAACTGGTGGTTAAATACACTGATATTAGGGATTGGATGCATAAAAAGGCAGCATGAGCCAAATGCATCACATTTTGGAGGGTAATTTATAAGTTATGGCTCGGTATCTTAAAATCAACTTGTCTATTTTTATCTCTTGATTTGATATCAAAATTTATAATATTTAACTGTAAATCAAATAATCATTTTCGTGCCTTTTCTGTGTGTCTGCAGATCCAGCACTCCCACTGGAGGCTTCTTTCAGTTGGAGGTGTGTTTTGATTGGCCACCAGGTAAGTGATGAAATTGGGTTTTGTCTCCTGCTGCAAATGGCAGGGGTCTATAAAATAGAGCTACTGTCTGAGAAAATGTGTTACTCCACGTAGCCTTAGCCCTCACTTCATCAGACAAATAGCAGCCCTTAACTCCCCTGCTGCCTTGCTATCCTCAGACTAGCTAAACCTTATGGTTTGTTGTGTTATGCAGTCAGACGGTGCTGTCAGAGAGAATCTAATTTTGCTTCAACTGGCCAATCAACAAACCTTGTCTCATTTCCTGGTTTGCTTGGCTGAACACAGAACACATTTGTCTGGATGAGAAAAGGCAACCCGGCCCTGTTGTCCTCACCTTTGGCAGTTTAAATGAAGACTTAGACCAAATAAAGCACTTTACGTCCATGCACATATCTGCAGATATAAACACATATGTGCTCCTGTAAGAAACTTTATCGCTGCCACATAAGCGACAGTACAAAAGGTCCATTCTTCCAGGGGACCTAGGGATAACAACAGCACATGGGCAGCGGAAATGACAGACTGATTATGTTCCCACAATGATAGCACTGCCTCCACCTTCCCTCACAAACAGTCTTTTGTCTCGGAAAGGATCGGACACAGGAGTGGGCCTAACTCTATTTTCTTCTCATCTGAGCTAGACTTAGTTAATGTCACTGTTAAGGGCACTCTTTGTGTCGGCGTATGTGTATCTGTGTGAGGTGAGGTGAGGTGAGATGGATGGTGGGGTTAGCGACAGAGAGAGAAAGAAATAGTGGACAGAAAGAACATATTCTCAATTCACTGCCTATCACTCTAGGCTACATGCAAGCCTAAGTCGAAGAGTCTGTTGGACAGATGTTTGCTAACAGGCCTGTCGATGGGCATGCCCCTGACCTTGTGTGGGAAGAACTTTATTGTCCCGGAAAAAGAACATAATTAGACTTTGCCTCAAATTGCACACAGTCAGGATGCTAGTACTGATTAGCAGGTCAATGCCACAGGGTGAGAAGCAACGGCTACTCTTAAGCCCGAGCAGGAACCCTCCATGAACCAAAGAACAATAAATACAATCAAGGGGAAAGTCAAATCTGTTAAGTTGCTATACAATGTACAAGAAGAAACTGGAAAAATGTCAGTGTTCAGCGAGTATTTTTCAGTATTAAGTCTGATAGGGTTTATAGATGTTTTTGGCTTTGTATTTCAATTGGAGACAACAATCACTCCGGTGTCAGAAAGTTGACGTATCCTGCCAAAGCTGGTCTCCCTGAGCTGAACACATCTGCCTGTTTCCCTCAGTTGACGCTCTCACATCTAATAACCCCTTCTTCATAACTGCTTGCCAGGTGGCGTAGAGAGAGGTTCATGGTAATGAGGGTCAAGCTGAAAGTCAGTGTTCCAACACTGGAGTACAGAAGGAGCAGTCAAACCTTTTAAAAATATCAGGACCCTCAATATTCTTAACACTTTTTATTTCCATGAAAAAACAAGCAGCACGCTGAGCTACAGTTTGCAAATGTAAACATCAAAATGAATATGTTAGCTAATGGGATTACAATCAGGGGTTTTTAGGAACTGGCAAGAGATAAATATTCTATTTTATGTTCTCTATGAAAAACATGCCAGTCCCATTAAAAGTGTACATGTATGGCAATCACAATACAAAATAATATAAAAAGTAAAACAAAAACAGGACATATAAATCAGAAGGCAAACACATAACCTAATATCCTTCGTCTGACCCCATCATTCCTCGTTTCCCAGTAGAGCAGAGCAGATCTCAGCAAGCATAGATTCAAAGTGAGCACAACACGCCCTAGGTCAGCTTGTTAGCCTCTGGTAATTAAAAACGAGCCCTCTGGAGGCAGCAGAGGTTAAACGGGGAGGTTCACTTTTCTGCCTGTGACATTAAACTGAGATTACACACTCTGCTGATGATGTTAGACATCTCAAAAGTATGATATGCAATCAGGGCAGACAGCCCTGTATTTGTTTAGTGAAATAACAAAGCTGATAGCTCAGTACACAATATAATCAATTATGGAGTGAATGTTTTTCCTGCTGGAAACACAGGAGTGTAAGCCTTGTCTTTTAACGAGAAATTGATGAAAAACAAATGTGCGTCTTTCTTTTTTCTTTTTTTAAAGAAAGACATGAGTTGTAGCGTGGCAATATGTGGTGGAAAATATAGTGGCAGATATTTGTCAGATTCTTTGCTGCCAGCAATGACGGTGCATTGCACATTTCCAACTGTGGCTTTTGAATATATTAAATAGGGAAACTGCTTTTAAGCCATTGCAATTTTATATACCAACATCTTCTTTTACATTGTCTAAACACTGTCTAATAGCCACGCTCTCTTAAACACACTCTCATCTCTTTGTGTGCGAGTGTGTCTCTATGTCAATGTCTCATTCACCTCTGTCTGGCCTGGGCACTGAGCACTGGACTGGATATGAGGGCATTAACTGTGCTTCAGTGCACCACACCATTTAAAAGGCAGCACAGCGCCAGCCCAGTTTGCCACAAGGCTTGTACAGGCTCATTGCCCAGGGCGACCATGCAGCCTGACCCAGGCTAAGCCCAGATGTCAAGAGTGGAGGAAGGCGTCCTGGTGCACTGTGCCGATGCTTTCCAGTATGGCTCAACATCTGTCTCATCTGCTGGCACCCAACCTGCTCTGCTCTCACCCCTCCTTCCCTCCCACTGCCTTTCTCGGATTCTCTATCACACAACTACTGAGTAGACAGTCCAGCCCTTCTCTCAGTTTCTAACTTGTATATATGCACACAATCGCAGACTGTCTTGTGTAGGCGTGAGTGTGGATACTCCAGGCCCAGGGGCCCCAGAGCCAACCCTCCCATTCACTGCTGCTCACTGCATTATCAACTCTATCTGTCCATCTGTCCCTCTGTTCACCACTGCCTCTATCCAGCTGCTCACCTAGCCTTCCTATTAGCCAGCCTTCCACACACACTCCAGCATTGCTGCACTGCTCTGGGTTACCTTCAAAGACCAAGCTCCTTTGCTCATAAACACAAAAACAGCTGCTCTCTACAGTATGTCTGTTCTCTACCCCCTCTCCTCCTCTCTCCCTCTCTTTCAAAGTCAAAAGTGCTTCACTTGTTAATGATAGAAGCCATTTCTTCACATCTGTACTACACAGGCATTTACATCCAAACAAAAGATAATGCGGGGTTTGCTGCTCTCCCACTTTCTTCCTGTTTGTACCTGATTGTGTAACACTCTTTCTTATCGCACCAGTCATCTAAGCCTGTGAGTACTCCTTTAGATGTGTCTGTCAGCTCGAGATCTGGTCCGGGTTGTTGCTAAGCATATGGGCTTCTTTTCATCTTTACAGTGAGAGCATGAGCTGAGGCTGGGCCCAGGTTTATCGTGGCCCTGGAGAGATGCCGTTGCAAATGCGGCAAAAGTCTTATTTCTAGCAGCTCCGCTTCCTTTAATGTAAAGCATGAGGATGTCATGCGCCAGGACAATTCATAGGGGAAAAAAAGCCAAGAGAAACACAAAAAATAGCATGGGGTAATTGAAAGAGAAATACTTAAACTAAGACACTTTGTGGTGGTTTAAGAGGTTTAAGAATGAGACAGCAGGAGAGAGAAAATGGACCTTTGACTGAGTAAACGCAGAGGGTTTCTTTTTTATTTTGTCCAGCGGTGACACTACATACAGAGAACCCAGATGTTTTGTCTTCTACAGTAATGCTTTCTGTAAAACGGCTTGAACTCCAAAGTCTGCTTCCAGTGGTAAAAACAGGGCTTTCTCGAAGGTTTTTCAACTGTTCAGCGGTTCATGAAGACGGGCGATATGCATTAGGGTCACATTTTCCTTAAGTAAATAGTTTTTTTCAGTTGGCAAGGAATAATGTACAAACAGCAAATTAAATGCTATCCCAAATAGAAAATTCTTTTGTGGAATTAGGGAAATTCCCTTCTTGTATCTTCACTCAATTGAATATAGTAGGTGTCCGGAGAGATTGGGTTACAATCTCAGCACAATTTCCTCTGTTAGGTGAGACATGTCAGTTGTAATCAGTGAGGGACAGGCAGGGATGGAGCCATTGTTTCCTGCTGGTCCTAGGCTCATCCCGCCTCTGTGTGGGCACTAATGAAGAGGGGCATGTCGCGCTGGGATAGTTTACCCGTCTCCTCTCCTGTGAGTTGCGGACCAGAGCCAATCTGTCAGGAAAACATTGAGTGAAATTGCCCTGTGGTACAGCAATGCCTGGTGACAGCCACTTGCAGACTGCCAGCCACCAGAGTGATGCTACCACCCTGTATTGACAAGCAAATTACAGTCTCCCAACACTCAAACGCATCCTGCAAGATTCATTTACATCCATCAGCTCGGAGCCTTTGTTACCTTGTTGGGTTTTCTTCTCTTGGCGAGAAAGGGCGGGGAATGGGGGAGGATCCCAGACTGTTATGACAGAGAAGATTGTGAAGAGGCTTCGTGGCCAACATTAAGACTGACGGAGCGGCTAGCCTCTTTGGCTGGATGGCTGATCACATTACCTCTGCAGCATTGTGGGAATTAATTCTACCAATAAGATAATTTTTTAAGGTTCATATATTGCACAGTCGAAATCGAGTAAATTGGTGAAAATTATACCTTGCCATTCAGCTGACAGGAAGAGATATTTTAATTGAGGGGGGCAGCTTATTCAGCCATATGTGTGTGGGATGTTGTATCTGCGTGTGTTCATGTGACCGCGTGCACAAGGAAGATAAACAATAGGTTTGGGGGTGGGAACTAGAACATTTCAGGACAGTTTAATGAAGTTAATGGAGAATTGCGCTGGATGATTTATAAACTTTCAAAAATATCAAGTGGCGCTGGTATTAAGATGGCATTCATTTCAAGAGAAAGTGTGTTTCCTTTCTACACATTGGTCCCTTCTGTCACAAACAGGCATTTATTTAAGGACACTTTTCAGTAGTTTAATTTCGATGAAGGAAGTTGCTGGTGGTATTATTGGTTTGAAAAGAGAGGAAACAACTCCAACTTAATTCCATGACTGGGTTGAGATGATGGTTTTAATCATACCAGGCTCCCAGCGCTTTGTAGAGGAAGTGGCGGCAGTCACATGGTTTGTTGATCCCAGCTATGCAGAAAAGGGCATGTTTGATTAGCCTTACTGTTTTAAGGGGAATCTCTATGCAGGGTAAATAGCAGCCAGCAGGCGGAATATGTGACAGGCTGACAGACTTCAATTAATGGAAAATGCACCTCTTTTTGTTTACTGTGTTCTGTAAAGGTCAGCCAAGTCATGGTCTTGGAGGCACTGTTTTTGCCCATTCCCAGGGTTAGATACATAGTCAGAATTAATGACTCTAGACCCGTCTCCCGTTCTTACCCCAACCTTCAGATATACGACTGTTTCATCTGACCTCATACACCCCTATAAATAGGCTGAGTATGCCTGTCTGAACTGACACTCCTTTCCAATAAACTTCACTATGACACACAAAGCCACGCATATGTACTCCAGAAAGATATTCAGAAAAGCAGCTTCCATCTTTTACACTCACAGACACGCATCCTCAAACATGAACAGACTCATTTAACACCTTACATGCTTCTGATAGCTCTTCTCCTGGATGCATAATGACGCACGGCTCTTCAGAGCCAGCTGCGTGCATTGTTCGAACTTGCCAAGGCTCGTTAACACTGACAGTGGTAGCTTCTGAAGGACAAATGCCACATATATCAGTGTGCAAAGAGTCTCCCCTTAGTCTTGAGCTTAGCTTTTCACTCGTGGTTTACTTCTTTCTGCTGTTTAGCATCACATTCTGTAGCTGTAAAATAACTTACTGGTGTTGTTGATAAAGCAGCAGTGGCCACTTAACCATATGCTGGGTAGGATACTTGTATATTCTTTGTTTGCTGCTTTTGTTTCCAAAGAACTACAACTAAGATTTCCAGACAGAAATTCTACAATTACTCAGAAAAATCATAATTAGAGAAGCAACAATCAGCAATGTTCAGATTTCCATTGGTTTTGTTTTTTTAATGGAAATAAAAATCTGTGAAAAGTTAGGGGGGGAAGTAATTATTTAAAATTTCTCATTAGCTATTTATATTTATTACTATTTATAATAGCGATAAGTTGAATAATAGAACACAGATAATTATCTACATTAAACATTATGGCCTCAGGTTAAGCCCTGACCTAGGTTTAGCTCTTAAACGCTGAGTGAGAGAAGTCCTGGAGCAGCCCGTAGGGCTCACAGCCTCTCTCAACATTTCTCGTTGCTCAAATCCTCTTCTCACACATTTTTTTATTAGACTAATTTTAATAATTTTCTTAGCTGTTTTCTACAAAGAGATAAACTGTAAATAGCACAGTCGTTTTCTAGATGAAAGCATTAGGAAAGAGATTTTTTTTGCAGCCTGTTGTCTTCCGATAAATTCACTGGTGGGTGATTAATGCAACCAAAGTGATTTTCATTCTCTCTAATAACTATTATCTTCCTAACTCTCTGGCTGAGCTGGTGGGGATGAAACCTCTATCATATGGGATGAATTACATACATAAGGTGATAAGCGCGCGTGAGCTTGGGGCCTCCAGGATTATTTAGTGTGCGCCTCATTACTTAGTGTACAGCTGCTTAGCCATCCTTTCTGCCCTGAGCTTGGCGAGCGTCGCTAACATTCTTTGTCATAGTACTGTACATACCTGAAGCTGGAGGGGGCTGAGTCCTGACGCTGCTGCAGCTGCCACTGAGGATGGAATGAACTGCACCGGGTAGTTATCACCTGTCAGAGACAGAAAGAAAGAGACAACAATGCATACAGGTTCAGACAATGAGCCGGCCCACAGCGACCAGGCAAGTGCCAACACGGATTCTGGGCCCTCCACTACTTTTGCCACAGAAATGTGGCGAACAGCAACGAACGCTCGGCTTCAAGCCCAAACATCTGCATTAACAAAAAGCCTACGGGGGTTTAACAAGAGCAGAATTACTTACGAAAGTTCCACACCATTCCCTTCTTACTCCACCTGTGCACTACAAATCCCCTGACAACAGTAAATAAGACACTGTTAAACAAGGTGGGGATTCTTTAAAGGTGTGCTTGAGTGTGCGTGTGTTTGTGTTCTGATTAGATGCTAAATATCTCCCTTGGTATTCAGTTAGTGCTTTTGTAAAAGACCAGTATGTTCTCTCAGGCAATTCATACAGCTGTAGACTTGTCTGGTTATTGTTCAGTGCCACATTGTTTGTTTCTGAGTGATAGCTTTGGCAACAGAGTGGAAGCACTTGTATGCAAACTGGTTAGAACAAGTGTGCTGTCACAATAACACTGGTTAAAAAAACCACATTCTTATCTCATATGCCACTGTGATCAAGCAAGGAGGAAATAATCTCCAAATAGCAGCAGTATTCATTACTGTTGGCCCACCATCAGCACATTTGTTACACAGGGATATAAAAATGGCTGCAGCGTGAGTGATATCCATAGGGTTGCAGAAGCCTTTACACGGTCAACCTTGTGTGTTGAGACGGAGAGAACATCCCCAGTGAGACTGGGCAGCACAGCATTCATAGACGGGAGGTAGGTTTGAGGCATGAATCTGAAGGAGGGGTGATGGCGTGCACTGCGAGAGCGGGGAGGGGTAGTTGGCCTTCGCTCAGACCCCACTTCTGGCTGTCACTTCTCTTCACAAACATATGGAGCCATTAAGCCACAGACAAGGCAAATGTATACACCTTCTCTTTCACTTTGCCCTCGCCCGCCCGCCTCACTTTGCAATCTTGTACAGCACAGCACAATGTGATACAGGCCATGGAAATCCAATCCCCATTTAGTAGCAAATAAAATCACATAGCAGAAGTGGTTTCAAATAGTGCTAAGTTGGATGGGGGGGGGGGCTGTGGTTATTTCTACACACCTCCTTTTTTTGGTCTCGCTTTTCTCCCTGTCTCATTTGCTGTCTGTGACGTAGGGTTTGGGGGATAATAAATGGCTGAATGTCTTTAGATGTCATGTGAAACCTGGGGAGGGTCATGTGCTGCACGACGACTGCTGAGGGATCTTGAGACTCCAAAGTCTGGGACTTGGGTCATCAAAGTCTGTGTCTAGGCACCAGACTCCAACAGAATGTAAACTCCTGCAGGTTAGCACCCCTCGTAACAAAAAGGAAAAGCATTTAAAATGTTTTACTTCCTTTGTAAAAAAGAAAAAAAAAAGGGGTCCTTGTTGCTTTGCTGTTGAGAGCCTGGATTCTAAACACTAAGAGGGGTTGGGGGGTCGTATTGATGACGCCATAGTCACAACAGGCTATATTTCCCCCCTCATGTGGTGCCAAGAAATAAGTCGTAGATCTCCTGAGGGTTGACAGATGTAGCTGAAACCTTTCTTAGGGTAGATCAAATTATGAATGAATGACTGCAACTGTCAAACCTGATCATCTTTTTTCACCAGCTTTTAAGTTTCCTTTAACTTGAAACAAATAAAGCACTTCGTTGTTTAGATTTGAGAGCATCGTGGGAGAGACACAAAGATCCCACATTGCATTGTCATTTATAGCATAGCTGTTCTGAACAGTGACTAGCTGAGCTACATTTACAAGTGACTTTTTTGCAATTTTTGGGAGCTGGTTTGTCATTTTGTCTGTGACACGCAAAAATATATGCCTTAAATCTAAAAAGTAACTTATCTAATAGTATTTATCGTTGTCTCACGTGATGTTAACACTAACAGTACAGAAATGACCCATAGAAATGACACAGTACAGAAATCAGGCTTTTATGGGGGCAAAAATGACAGGGGATGCTTTTGTATTGCTGTTGTGCCAGTCCAGACAAAGTGCTCCAGGATGCTTCCAATTAAGTGCTTACAGATAGTGATTATGTATATTTTTATATGACTCAGGTTGTGATTAATGAAACTCACTTAGTCAACCAGCTTCACGTTCAATGTTGCAATTTTAAGGTTTCCGAGCAATGTGAACAATGTGAAGGAGAACAAATGAACTGTTGCCGAGTAAAAAATGGAACATAGGCATCGCTTGAACCCCATCATTAATCTGCTGTACCCCAGTAAAATCTCACGTTTGAGTTTTACCAAGCTTCTGCAGTTGGCATTGGATTTAACTACACTGAAAGTAACAGGAAAAAAACAAGTTTTTTCTAATCCAAAATGTTGCAGCAGCAGTTTAACCCAAAATACAAGCTGAGGTGTGCATTTGCTGGTGCCTCCAAAGAATTTCAAGCAGTAATCCTTGGATCTGCACTTTGTATGAAACAAGAATCAAGATTACTGTATAATAGCACAACCTGACTGGGAGTTGAGTCACATTAACTTTGCCAAAATGAAAAAGACAGCAACTCTGTTTGGACATGAGACGTGCTCTCAAACATTAGAGGAATATTTTGTTTTCTCTTAGATTGCATATGTATATACAGTGTTTTATCATGGTTTGTTTGTATTGTGAAAAGCAGAAGATCACAAATAAATATTGTTAATAAAAATTAAATGTCTTTGCATTTTTAGTATTGCAGCCCAATGCCAAACCCAGCAAAAGCAACGGGGCTTCAGGTAGCAATATATAGTACATTTTAATATACCAAGAAATTTCTTTGTGATTTGAGTAATCCCTGATTGAGGCCCTGCAGATCTTTAAGTCTAGCAATGGAACCTGCGACACACACTCTGCACACATAAAAAGACTCCTTCTTCATACAACTTACTCATAAAGAGTAAACATCCAGTTTGAATGACTTGAAAAACAAACACTACAAAGACGGAATAGTTTAAATCTGGCAACTAATAAAACAAAATAAAATAAGATAGCATGAGAAAACTATCAACTGTCAGCAGGATACCTATGAGGGCGACTGGCAGAGACTAAAGACTATGGGGTCATTCTCCAGCTCCATTAAAGGCACCTCAGACTGAATGCTGCCATGTCTGTGTAAACAGTGCAAACAGGCTAAGAAGTCCAACTTATATATCTATTTGTTTAAGCGATGACTTGGTGTCTCTATGACTGTGCCTGCCTACCATGCAGCACCAGGCCATTGAGCACAGCCAGTGGATGGGGTGATGACTTACCACTACGGTGCCAAAATGAATCTGTTGCCATGAGAGCACCACAGGTTTGGGGGTCATAAGCAGTGGTCCCTGGGAGCTGTCTCATAATGATAACATCAGATTAGTGTGCCTTAGTCTTGGAAGTAAATGCTTCACCGCTCACTTCATGGAGAAAGGACACAGAAGCATCCTGTACACTCTGCAGGTGGTGATGATAACATTGTGCTCTCTGGATATATTGTGTATATTGTGTTGGACAGGGAAGAAATAATAAAGGCTTTGAAAATACCTCTTCTGACTACAAGAGTCATTTTCAGACCTCCTTTGCTATTTCTTCATGAGCTCATGAATTATGCAAGACCCGTGCACATGGTGACCCCTGAACATGATTCCATAATAGCTCCTGTTATTTGAACTAAAACATTTTCCGTGTCAAACCTATTGCAAAAAGCACACTGGTAAAAGACTCCCCCTCAGGCACTTTGTTTAAGCTGTCATGGCTCCATAGTTCAAAAATAGCTGACTTTCTTTTTCATCCTGTGGTTTTATAGTTAATTCATTAACTGCACTACCACACCTTTTAATGTTGTGTTGCAAACCTGCTGACTTCTTACTCTTCTCAGTTTTCTGTTTATAGTCCTCTTCAGACAAAGACTTTTCTTTTTCAAGGTTTCATCAACATAAAAACACTTTTTTTGCCTTGGGGTGAAAATGGGAAAACCTTTTTCAGTGGACAAGATTCAGCTGAATTTTGTTAAATAAATGATGTGCGTAACAAAACAACCATTTTTTAAATATATATATGTATATATAACCTTGCCCTGGGACTAAGTACATACTGTAACGTGGAAAACTTTACAATGTGTAAAATATGTTTCCATAATACAAAGGAAGCTAGTGAGGCATGCCGTTACAGGCAGTGCAAACAGTAATTGTACAGAAAAACCTGTTCTTGCATCATGTACAGACTATCCAACTCCTAACCGTGTTTTAATGACTTAATCTGACTATAACAGGGTATAATTGTGTGAAACTGTAACAGGGGAGTTGCTTTTTTATTACGATAGATTTGGAAAGCACTTCTTGCAGGTTTCGTCTCCCGTGTTCTTGGATCTCTGACAGTAGATACTTTGAAAACAAAAAAACTATTATAGCCAGTGCACTCCTGAAAGATACTTTCATGCCGATGACATGTTTACATTCTTCTGTTTTTCCACCCATATCTATTGTTCCACATGGACAAGAACATTCCCAGGCGTTGCTCTCAAATCTGTGTTCAGACACAGCAGAGCATGCCAGCAGCCAGAGTGTGAATGAAGCATTAAAGTCTAACAGCTTCCAGACTGAAAATTATAGTTGTGGTTAAAAGCACAAAGGGGGTGAAGACAAAGCAAGCAAGGGAGAAAAGAAGGACAATATGACCAAAATGGCTTAAATTTGCAAGCGTACCTGGCTTATAAGACATTCCTGGGGGGAAGAGAAAGCCTTGCTGGGCGGCAGCTGCTGCTGCTAGAGTGCGTTGGTCGTGTGGAAAAATGGGGATCATGAGCGGAGGCATGTGACCCTGGACCTGCTGAACAGATAGGGAGCAGAGATCAGAGAGAGGCCTAAGCACTGGCATAGTACACAGAAACACAGAGCCCACTCAGGGGGAGGCCAGATCACAGCTCTTGCTAACGCGTGCTGACAGGGGTCTCTGCGGCAATGACGGCCCTCGTGTGCTCACACAATACCTGGCTGAGCTACGCCTGCTCTTAATCCAAACCACAATTTCACCTCGGCACATCAAAGGCCCGCATACACACATTGTTACAGCATAAGTTAGAGTAAGTGACATGTGCTGTAGGATGGAAAGCAGAGAGGCGCAATAGTTTTGTATGGATTCTGTGGCAAGCAGTGTATGTGTTGAAAGTAGTATTAAATCTATAAAATGATAACTCCGAATATCAAAGATGTACAGCGTGCTTGGTTTTAATAAAACCTAAGGTCAAAGAGAACCGTAGCACTCACTGATGAGTATGCCATGTTTATTAAAGACCTGTAGTAAACCAACTTTCTAGCTGTTACACTCTGCAAGAAGATTGTTTAACGTCTGATGCAGATGCAGTGCCAGAACCGATCAGCGTGTAGATGCATGACGACACAAAAACCTCAAGGGAAGCTTAACTTGTAACAGAATCCTGGATGATCATTTGTTCATATTAGAAAAAGCTAAAGACATCCAGAAATTTAATGTCACTGCTTTTAGGAGTGAAAATTGCAGGCCATTGAAAAGTGCTTGTTCTTTTTCATCTTAATGTCTTTCCCAGTCTGTGTTCAACTCACATATTAACCTTCACCATGCAGCCTGTTGCTGACTCGCCTACTGGGGATATCAGTACAAACTCCCCGCATTTGTGTGTCAAGGGTGGGTGAGTAGCTTATGTATCAAAAGTGCTGTGTGGGGGTTTGCACACATGCTGCAAGTCCAATTTTACTGTCACTCTCTGCTTCCTGAAACTCCATGATAGGGCGCAGCCTGGCTACCATGGGCCTGTGAGGGTTAATCTAGGGCTGAGCCAAATCACCTCGGGGGAACCTGCCTGGAAATGGGTTAATAAAGGTCATCCCCCAAAATAAACACTTTACAGAATGTTTCTCCATTCATCCCTCCTTAAAATCAACTCGCAATAAAACGGGCCTGGGTGCAATTACTGCCGCTGCATTGGGGCATGAAATCAACCTGTCCCGTGTTATGGCTGAGCTCTGCTATGATCTCCACTTTTCAGTCGGGGTTGCTCCCCCTGTAGACCCTCTACAGGAGCAGTTGCACCCAGGTTCTCTCGGAGCTAGCAGGCTAAACCTACTTTAAACAACTTTATTGATCTGTCCAGAGGTGCAAAGCTAGACTGAAAACTAAATAAATAGAAGAATTTTATGCCTACTGAGCGTTTATGGAAGTGCAAGTGCAGAAAGTGCATTATAAAAGAATAGAAAAGTAATTTTGTAAAATGTGCTGTTGCTGAAGAAAAAATAAATGGCCAAGGAGACTGCGACAAATGTCCTTAAATAAAACATTGCTTTATGGGGATTTGTGTTCCAAGTTTCCAGGCTGAGCGAGTGAAAGATCGAGCTTGGCCTTGCATGTATGGAACATATGGAAAAACACAATAATTAATGTCACAACATGAGGTGGGGCCAGTGACAGGCAGGGGCACACAGCTTTTCTCTGCCTGTGTATTTGGACTGTTAAAACAGATGGAGTCTGGTGCTGAATGTGCAGCAGTCACAGGGCAGAAAAGGGCTCCCTCAAGTCCCTTTAAGTGCGCTGCATGGTAGTTCATATTTCAGGAGTTTGCTGACATGCATCAGTTGTTTAAAGGTGTTTTAAATCAGCACTTCATTTTTTTAACTTCACATTTTAAATTTAAAGTTAAAGTGTTTTTTCTGAGTACATTAAATAATACTGCAAAATTGTTTAAGGGACGTATGCAGGCCATCCACACTTTATACACACACTATAATGAGAGACATCAGCACAAGCATTTTTGATAGACGTATGCATTTCTCCAGCAAACGCAAATGATAAACTCTAAATGATATAATTTCATCTGGGATATAAGCTTTTATTACTATTATTACTCTAAAATATGGGGCAAATATACAAGGTTCATTGAGGCAAGACAGATCCGAACTGTGCGTTGAAGGGGAAATAAATGCAATGAAGTTGAATGGTTGTGATTTTCGGTAATGAGCTCGATGCATTAAAGTTTAATTTACAGCGGCTAATGTCAGAGAAAGGCAAATCAAATTCTGAGCGGCTTAAAGGTGGCAACAAATAGAGGAGGTTAGCTGAGCTGTCAATTAACAGCTGGCACAGTGGCTTAGCAGATTATAATATTTTCACGAGTCCCTTATTTTTTGAATCGACTGTTTAAAGCAGCGTGGCAGAAAAATAAAGTATACTTTAAGGAAATCAACATGGATGTTTAACTTGCGCTCTGCTCTGTTTCTACAACTCCATCATCCCGCCCACTTTATAAGAGTTACCCGAAAGTCCATCTATCCATGGGCGAAGAGCCCAGGATATTTCTAATGCCAAGATGATCTTGAGGAGTGGGGGAATGAAGTGGAGCAGATGTGAGTGGGGCGCTCAGACAGCCTTCTCCCTTTCCCTCATAAATACAGCAGCATTGTTATGCTGGCAGTGCTATTCCTTTGTCTTAGCGCTGCTAAGTAGTGGATAATGTCATTTCACACCATCTGCCCCCAGGCTTCATTAAAGATACATGAATGGGCTATCTTATGAGGAACAGGTGCTATTGTTTGTCCCTCAAGACACAGCAATAAGGATCTGACTCGGAATACTTGAAGAGGAGCATCTGTAGTGATCAGTCAGACAGACTTGGCTGAGGCCCCCGTCTCTGCCAGCATGCGCTCCAGCAGAGGTTTCCGGGGGAAACGGGCTCCCTTGCAACATGTATCATCAATTCAGATGACCTGATGAAGTCTGTAGCAGCCCAGTACACAATCTGTTTCCCTCTCAAGGAGATGCTGGTATTTGATAAATAGAACTCACTTGCATCTACTGTGTGTGCGATTCCAAACTGTATGTTATAAGAGAGCGCTTTCTTTTTCATTTTTTTAAAGGAAGAATTTAAATTTTAAAATGATATAACACACACACACACACGCACACTTTTCAAGCTGCAGGTTCCTTATTTTGCAACTTTAACAGATCATTCCTTTAAGAGTAAGTTTAATAAGACAGCATGTAAACTCCACAATGGCGCAAAGCAGCAGCACATCCTGTGGTCAGACTGCAGAGGGCAAGCAGACGGTTCAGATGTCTGATGTGTAAATACATAAGGTGTAAAAAAAAAGAAAAAGTGTAGAGTTAAAAGAGCTCCTTTTATTTCTCAGAGCACTTAAAACACATGCAATACGCACTCACACACAAAGATCACTTTATTACTGCACTAATGCATGCGTGATAAAGTCCTTTTTATAGCAGTTTTGTTAATTAGCATCCCTATGAAGCATCAGAAATACAGATTAGACTTCACATATTTTAAATGAAAGATGCACTTTTAATTTAAAAAATAAAAAAGCAGTGTGATTAGAAACAAGCTTCACATTTCACAGAGCTACATTAGGCAAAGGTGATGGTAAACGGAGAACAGTGAACAGTGGTGTTTTTTAGTACACCAGAAAGCATCCACCCACAGCACTCATGCAAGCGGCTCCAAAAACCGCACTGCAAATGGAGATGAACAGCGCATTACAGCACTCACTTGGGACCCTGTCAACACCCATGCTCCTCACTGTCTGTTATAGCCTCCACAAAGCACCGGTGAGGCCTCAAGACCTCTGCTGGCATCCCGTCTGAACCCTCTTACACTTTCATGCACTGACTGACGCTCAGGTTTGCTAATCACTGTAGACAACAATGGTCCATGTTGAAGAAACTGTAAGAATTTTTTTGTTTTTACTGCCAGAATCATTCAGTATTACCAAGATTCAAATACAAAAGGGGCAAAAAAGGCAAACATCTACCTCGCTAGCACCAAAGCTCACGGTTATTAGCTTGAAAGGACCTATGAGATCCTCAATATTCCATTCTGATTAATTACCATTTCACTCTTTTTAACACTTGTGCCATATACAGATCCTTGTTTTCGATATAATCTGCACACTTTTGTCATGAGGAGACTTGCAAGAAGTACTTTTATAAAAAAGTGACTGACAACAATAAAACCACAGGTCGGTGAAAAAATCTGAAGACTTTGATTTTTAATTCTGTAAAGTTTAGACTATAATAAACACCTCACACACTGTGAAAAGATCACAGTCACCAGTAATCTTCCTGAAGAGAGTTCACATTTCACTGTCACCTCATTTAAATAAAAATTACTTCATCACTTTAGTAGTTGTCAGCCCTCACTAATCTTCGTTTTCACATTTTCTCTTGGAGAGGTTCTGTAATTTCACCCAAGGAGGATAGACGTAAGCTGTTGGTGTAAGAACTGATAGTTCACACTTTGTTTCCACCTTTCTCCCCACTGAGTTCCACACCAAACGCTCGCTAGTAGAATCACCTTTTGTGATTCATTTAAGGGGAACGTGATCGGGAGTAAGCTGGCTACATCCCAACAGCAGCACACGCGGTAAACTGACACTAGACAGCAGGATGTGTTTAACACCCGCCACTGCGTATGAACAGAGCCTGCTGGGTGTACAGTGTACCGCAGCACAGCCAGGAGGAAAATCACTCAGTGGAAGCACTTCTGCTGAATACAATCAGATGTTACTCGATTACTGCTGGTCACTTTCTGCTGCACACTGAATAGTTACATTACGTGGGAGACATGCACATTAATCAAACACAGATCTGATGATGTTTGGATTTGTCTGTAACTAACGATAATCAGACAAATAGATCAATAGATTTGAACAAGACTTTGAGCTCCAGACTTTTGCTTTTGAATGAAGGTCTTCATTTTACCACATTATTCATGCTTGGCCAGATTAACGCTGGAAACCCTGGAGAGCTTCATGTCAGCGACAAAGGGCCTTTGTCCTGTTCAAGAGTCT